TATGACACTGTTACCACTCTATATTTGTATTGTGTTCAATGATTTCGTAGGTATACAAAGAGTAAATTTTTTTGTGTGTGTTACTATCGCCTGGAAGGTTTTGGAGGATACAAGCACTATTGCTTTAAAGGAAAAGCATGTAAAGAGTAAAGACAATAGAAGGTCAGAAATGTATTGTAAAAAGCAAAACATATATAGTTACAGGCACACTACACCAATTACCTATCCACATTTAAATAACAGAAGGTTTTTAGTATCACTCTGTGACGAAGTGCCCTTCGCCACTTTTGGCTTATATTGCTGTTTCTGGCCCCTTAATGCCCAAAGAAAGGATTTGTACTTTTAAACTGGCACTTCAGATGCTGTCGAAGTTGTCGAAGTGGCCGCCATTCGAATACCGAACAAGTGGCGGCGGCCATTTTAACTCATTAGAACGCGGTCAGCGGTGTGTGCAGCCAAATCTATGAAACTGTTTTCGGCTACCCAATTGCACGAACACCGCTGACCCATACGTTCTACTCTTCTTCGACACTGCGGCTGGAGACTAAGTCCCGTTCGAAGATTTGAACGCTCGTTCGAATGGGACTTAGTCATTTTCTCTGTCTAAAATAGACCGACCGCACAGCCCAAATCCATGGAACTGTTTTGGGCATGAAAATGTGCCTGCGGTCGGTCAAAAGTGACATATGTATCTCCCGAATGGCTGAACGGATTCGAATGATTTTCTGGGTATGTTTGTATTTGGAATGTGCTGATTAATAATATGTGACTTTTATTAATATTGTATGTATAGTTTTGGAGTTATGAAAGTAGGGTAAAAAGTATGTTTTAAAATGTATGGATAATTGGGTTACCTCTCAGGCTAAGGGGAGGAGATGTGTGGGATGTAACCATTGTGTGATTGGGTATTGTATAATTGTTCGTGGGCGTCTCCCTTGCAGGGGAGAATTGCATAAAAGCAGAGTGTGTGTCATTAAAGATGAGATCCTGTTTGACCCTCAATACGTAGCCTTGTCTCATTATTGGAGGGAGCTGCCATCATCACACTCTCTGCATACTCCCCTGAGCTTTTAATCACTTAGCTCTTTTAAGAGCTTGATCCCCACATGCTCCTGGAGGAGAGGTCTTCCCCACACGGTCCTGGAGGACAGAGGCTGATCCAGGGTGGACGGAAGACGGCGAGGCTTCAGTCAACCAGTCTGCGGTGGTTGTGGTGTCCAGTGCGATGGTTGTGGTCCTCAGCGCAAGCTAGGAAGCTTCCATTAATGGAAAGGTCCGTTACACACTCCAATAGCCATTAAAGGGGCACTATAGTCACCAGCACCACTACAGCTTAATGTATTGTTTCTTGTGTCCATAGTCTGTCCCTGTAGGCTGATCAACGAAAACACTGCCTGTTCAGGTAAACCATAGTGTTTACATTGGTGCTTAGGAACGCCTCTAGTGACATTCGGGCAGATGGACGCTAGAGTTGCTTCCTAGTCTAGTGCTGCATAGTGTGCCCTGTTATTGTGAATCTCCATGTATAACCCCCATCAGTCTGACGATAAGCAGTTTATTGTTTTAAACCTTAATGTTTAGTCTTTCTTTTTAGTTTTGTTCTGCAATATCTTTTTAGACATGCCTTATCAGGTGTATACCTTAATGGGACGCTGAAGGCACTCAGACTACTTATCTCATTAAAGTGGACTGGACGCAATGCCTCTGTTGTTTTAACCTGCAATGTAAAACACTGCCGTTTTTCTAGAAACCAATATGGTTTTTATTGCATGATTAAACACACCTCTAGTGGCTGTCCTTCTGATAACAACCACTAGAGGCACACCTCCTGTGAGAACTGAGTCATACCCGAAAAAAACACATGAAAGGGTTGAAAACACATGAAAGGGTTGCCCAGCAGTATGTATAACGGATATTCTGCATGATTCTTAATTGCCTAATTACTAAATCTTATACATCTTCTTCTGAAATCTACATACTACAGGGCAACTCTTTTCATGTGCTGCATATGTGATATATGTGTCTGAAAACATGGTTTATCTGGTAAAGCTATACATAGTCATGAAAACCTGACTATAGGTTCCATTTAATAAATGTTGGCTTCCAAATGCATATGTTATCTTCACAGTATGTTTTTCATTTTTATATTTGCATTTAAAATGAACTTTTCATTTGCAGAAATTAACTATCTTGCTTTACCAAAAGTACGCGGAGATGTGTTTCATATACAAGTAATTATTTTCTTAACTTAAAAGATTTATTTTTATTGTGTGACTTTCAGATGATATGATCATATAAAACAAATGAAAGCTTGATAATACACTTTGATGAATTAACCAATAAATATTTTTGTTTCAGGGTTGTGGCAGGAAAATGTATAGTTTCCTGAGAGGAACCAAACAGCTACAAATGTTGCGATTTCTTGGAATCTCTATTGGCGTTACACAGATTTTGGCTATGATCCTTACTGTCACCTTGTTGTGGGCATTATATTACGACAGGAAGGATCCCCGAAAGGAGCAGATGGTGTCCTTAAACCACGACTCCTCGCAGCTCACATGTCATCCAGTGGAACTGCTGAAGCCAGGCCTTTCTAGGACTTGTGATCAAAGGACTACAGCCAATGGCTTAAACACATATTTTGAAATGGAAGAATTGTAAATGGTTATAGCACAGTCATGTGTTATATTAAATCCCTCTATATGAAAAAAAAAATATTCCCCAGGTGCATATATGTATGTTTAAACCAGTTGAGGTCTTGAAGAATATTCAAGTCAAAGTTATAGATTCAAAATGTTTAAGGGAATATGATAAGCTCGGTGTAATTTGATTAGGAAAAATCTAAAAATGAAAGTAGAATTTGCTATTTAATTAAATTAAACCATGGTTTATTGTGAACGGCCAATTTTACAATTGCTGTTTTGTATTAACGGAATGTTATCATCCCATAAATATATGTTGACAATTATTTTTAGCATAAGACTGAAGTAGCACAATATATTATACGTTACCACTCAATAGGCAGAAAATATTAGATGACGAAAGTGCCAATCGAATTTTCGCTCAGAATTACTGATATGATTACTTGGGCAGCACAAGTTGAACATCTGCACGCTACTTACACCTGCCTCCGTTAATACCGTCCACCATCAGGATTTATCACTTTGAAATTTTTGGCCCTGATTTTAATATATTTGGAAAAACTATTAAATGAGGGGATGTTGCCAGTGATGCAACTAACGATAGACAGAACCCACCTAGGAAGTGAGATTGTCCACCCACTGAAGGGGGTGTGTCAGCTTGGTGTCAATGACCTCCAAGCTACAGCTACAGCCTTCTCATTGACCTCCAAGCTACAGGACCATGCAGAGAGCATTGCTGTAGCACTATAAGTGTGTATAATGATTTGCTCGTAATGTGCTGCTCGAGAAAAGTATCCTAGATGGTGGGACACCAAGGAACTAAATCGGGACCATACGCAAATTTGGGACTGTCCTGAACAAGATCTGAAAAGTATTTTTTGTTTTCTTTTGTTTTTGTGTTTTTATAGAACGTCCTCAATAGACTGTTAATTCCTTTAATATTTGTAAAAATTCATATTTAAATGGAATGTCCTTCTCTGTAAATTGCATCAGGTGTTTACTGATCTGCCATAGCCAATTAAGAAGGATGTTGCATGCTGACATGTTAAGGGTTACCTTGTCATGCCTACAGCAACTCTCTTTGGTTTCTAATATTTCAAAAATACAATGTCTATTAGCCTACTGTGAAATATGATTGCCCAGTTCACAACGGTGTTGCTGGGGCAGAGGGGTGGCTGACTGGGACTACAGCTCCAAGTGGGAATCCTCAAAAGCTGTGGGTCTAAATTTGGCACCATTTCATTGTTATCTTGGATTCCTTATAATTCAGAGTTTAAGGCTGGGCATAGGGCATATAATAGCTCTTGTTCTAGAAGGGATTTAAGTCAATCTATGTGGAATCCCCTGGACTTTTTCCCCACCTAGCAGCATCCCTGCCGGTTATTTTGGCTATAGCAAGCAACTTGCATTTCTTGAACCATAGCTAGCCCATTAAATACTTTTAGAGGTTTAGGATAATGCCTATAGACAAACTGACATGCTTCTTTAGAGCTGCAATTCACCCAATTTAAAGCTGCAATTTAGTTTACTGTTATAGAAACCACCATTGTGAAATATCTGTCTCTACGTAGCAATTTACCTTCCTAGCACAGTCTCTTAGAAACAGTTAAAAATATCTCTTCGACTTTGCGGTTCTGAGTCTATATTTTCTCTTTAAGTTGTGATCTGAAAACAAGTAATTTTTGAACATTCAGCATGTGCAGAAATGTTCAAAAATTCAGTCTCCTACTGTATGACTTTATCAGGGACTACAATGTTTCCAAGCTTCAGATAATTCCGTGCCGCACTGCCTTAGAACTTTAGAACGGATCTTACTGTTTGATGCGTGGAATCAATGTATGTATAAACAAAAAATATCTATGTATATTTTGTGAAGAATTTTACTAATTTGTAAAGTTAAAATTGATTTGTTTAAGATATTTTATATAAGAAAAAACAAATTTATATATTTTTTAACTGTTCTAATATATAAAGGTTTGACACATCAAGTCTGTTTAATTTTGATTGTGAGTTTGTGTTTGAAAAATCAAAAATGGCCTTGCACCTGTTAATAATGCATTGTGGACATAAATGTATTGATACATTCAAAGTGTAATGGTTTTTAATGGAAAAATGTTAACGTTTTTATGAAAATACAAAGCCTTGAATACTTCCCATGTAATTGGAATGGAAGCAGAGCGGCTCTTGTTGATCCTAATAAACTAGCAATACATTTATTAGTTTTTGTTTATTTTTGAGAACCTTATAGCTTTGAGAAAATGTGTTGTATTGGCCAGTTTCCTCAACATAGTAGTGGATAAACCTGCATATTTTCCTTTTTTTTTTTTTTACTGATGCAGTAGCAATAATCTAGGTTGAAAAAGACTCTGGTCCATCAATTTCAACCTTCTAACATATCCTGTTTAACCTTTTATTATGTGTTGGCTTCCACCATCATGATGAAATATTTTACAGGACAAAAACCATTACATTAGCTTACTGTAGAGGTCATGGTTCAAATAACCTTTAGGTGATGTACCTTTGATTTTGTTAAACCTTTTTAAAATGGTTTGATAAAAACCTGTGTTCTCCTGACACCCAAAACCTTCGACCCCTTTGCTGCTGCTAAAACCTGAAAGAAGTTTCACTTCTATTTAATTTACGCAAATTCAGACAATGATCCCAGCTTAGCATTCCTGTTCAAATATGCTTGACTGTAGGCATCAGAAGAGCCGTGGAGTTTGTCAAACTTCTCAAAAATGGTCTGAGACCAAGTGGTGGGATGGAGCCTTCCATCTCTTTGCCCTATAACCACTACAAACATCCTTAGTAGTTATGGTGCTTAGATGTCCAGTCAGGTTTTTCAACTGACATTTTAAAAAACATACCTTTTGCGCTATCTAAGTAAGTCATGTATGTGTCGAAAAAGGCACTATTGGCTTGTGTTTTTCTTTTACTGCAGAGTAAACCGTCAATCGTAAATTTCTCTAGACAATTGAAACATCCAAATGTAATGTGAAAAATATATAGCGATCTGTGATTTAGACTGACAACGTTTTTCAATAAAGTGAGATGTCGAATTGCTTGACTTAGAGAATGTTTCCAGTTCTGCTATTTTTATGCTGGATTTGAAATTCACTTTGAATTCTCACTTTTGTTGATAACCCTGCAAGTAGAAGTAGCATATCCCAGGTGCAATTTTAGCATGCAGATTGTTTTTTGATAAATAAACCGTTTTGAAGGTATTCATTTAACCATAAACTATATAGAATCCAAATTTTTTTTTTTTATTTATTTATTTTTTTAATTTTAGACCAAAATAATAAATTTTAGGGCTGGAGAAATTCCCATTTCGATTCTCTACCATTCATGAAATTTTTTTTTCACATTTTTTTTTGCTTGCTGTATGGGAAGAACTGCCGCATGCCTATTTCTTCAAAATAAGGGTTAAATATTCTGCAAATATCCATGAGATTTAGAAAGAAAATAATCACAAAAGCTGTGTGGTTGTTTTATACAAAGCGCAGAAATATACATATAATCTACATTCCAAGAGTTTATTTTGTACAGTTATTTATTACCAATCGGCTAATACTGACACCATTAAAAACACCTGTAACAGCAAGAATGGATTTGTCAGATGACAATTACTGAATGTATTGGTAGAAAGAGCAGGCGGAAAAGGTGTTTTCACTTGTACCCAAAAGAATGAGTCATTTAATTCTGTCATCTTAGCCCACCATTTCTTTAGAGTACTTGTTAAGCAACTCACCAGCAACCCGATGGATGACGTGGCTCAATCAACTTGGTCTGAGTGAGAAATAAATGCAGGTTTGGGATGGTCAGAGGTAGATTTCCTTCCTAGCATTGTAGAACTACTTCTGCCATGATGCTTGGTCAGTCTTGCGGTTTGCAAGGTTTCGTGGAAGCTGCAGTAGTACAACAACTGAGGAACTACATTTGGTCACCCTCGATGTAGATCCTGTTCCGTCTCAAATGGAGTGTGATGTGTAGCAATACTGCCCACTTCAAGTATATACGTGTAAGATGAAAATGCAGATTCGCACACAATTTACTGACATTTTATATCTCGTATTTAATACCTTTGACTGATTTTTATCATTTCTGCAGGGCATCTCCTAGATGAAGACAAAGTAATTAAATAAAATTCTTTGTTAATATTTGAAGGTAATATGAGTGATTTCTCTTATAATGAATATTTGTGATATTTAAAGTGGTTATGCCACCTTCAGTTGTCTTCATGTATTTTACAAATACCCTCGATGGAGACTTCGCTGCCTGGTGTGCACAGGCTTCTGAATGCAGAGGAAGGTACGTTTTTATTACCTAATGCTGTCCCTCACAACTACCGCCATATCCATCTGGTGGACCCTCTTGAGCTCCTGGCAAGTCATCTTCCAGGAGCCCAAATTAATGCTGTACTCTTGCGCATGCTGAAGAGTACAACAATGATGTCTATGTAGGATCTCCATGAGCCTGCAGGAGTCTCCATAGACATGCTTTTTTACTCACAGCCCCCCTTGGTGATGACTGTTGGACTTGACAAAACTTGATGGAATTAGATTTGCCTTTAGTCACATTTTTGTCAGGTGTAGGAAAAATGCATAATAAAAAGTAGTCCTGACTTTGTCTTATGATGTCTTTTGACTGTGAGAATTGAGTATTTCAAGATATATATATTTTTTATAATTCTTTATTTTTGTTGTGCATAATGATACATACACGCTTGCATTGCCACAACAGCAGGAACAAGCTGTTCAAATACCAACATGGTAAAACAGTAGTATGGCAAACAGAGTTCCCTGTACCCCAGCTGGTTACCTTCCGCCAAGGGCCCGCTTCCTAGCTGTGGCTGGATAGGGGAGCTTGCTCTGTTCACTCCCAGGGGCTTTAGTCCTTACAAGGACTTCCTCGCTGCATTGTCCACCAGCTGCGACAAGCTGGCACAGGGATTGACCCTTTCTTCCCCCCAGTAACTGGACAAGACCGAGGTCTGGAGGTACAACACTGACAATACTTTATTGGTGCACACAACTTTTATGCACAGACCCCCGCAGGGGGTCTCCACTCATTCAATACACATTCCTTTGTCTTGGGAAGGAGAGGGGGATGGGTTACAGATAACCATCTCCCGCTCTGGGATATACCAACAGGACACAGTTACATACATTAAAACATAGAGAAGAGACTTCTCCCTTGTGACAGAAGCCTTAAGAGCGCACGGCCTGCATTATCGCTGGGGATTTCCTACGAAACTCCTCGTCACTAAGGACAGAGACATTGCAGTGATAGACACGCCTGAGGATGGCAAACACTGAACAAACACTTCGAAGACTCACAGCAGACTGGAACAAAGTACCTAAGTAATGCGATACAGTGGGAGGACTGCTACGAACTGCGAAAGTACCACAATGACACCTCTACTTGGGACACTATACAGGTTATATTTCAATGCACTGTGTTGTTGAGCAATACTAGCTCGTAAGGTGGTTTTCTAGTCCAGCAGCTATTTTATACTACCGTTTATGCCTCACACAATATATACTCTTAACTTCTTCTAACACGATACACACCTGGCTCTGCAACCACAACACTATGATACAGGTCAAGAGGGGGGCAGACAGCCTACAACAAATCCCACCGGACCGCGGCATTTGCTGTGATGAGGCTCATGCGGAGCAGAGGTGCAGAACAGTGATATTGGGATATGCATCTACATTTAAATGTATATAGCTCACTCTCCACATCTACCAAAAGCCCAGAATGTACAACCAATGGGACAGACGGGCGATACACCAGAAGGAGAATGGGTTTCATGTTTCATGTAGTATAAATGATTGTCAAGATATGCTATATAAATGTACAAACATGGAACCAACTCATAGGAATTGGGTAATTCATCCCCTTCTTTTTATGTATATAACTCTCCTCTTGATACACTGTCCAATACTCTCCCTTTGATAACGCCCATCCCCAACACCCCCCACATCCAGTGTGCATGGCAACAAGTGTCTCCGACCCTAGCTTACATCCGTACTGTATGAGGCATAAGCAGCTCTGTCATCTCTGCAGATTATGCCCAATAGCCACATCTATGGAGAAAGGCCATCTCTCCTAACCCCGTAGTGCGGCGGCACAACACAATATCTTAATTTAGATATACCCTGTACATAGTTTTGTTTATACCCTGTTTTAATCCCTCCCCCTATTCCCTTGTCTCCTATTTCGTCCCCACAGGTCCCATTAATTAACCCCAATGGAAGCCTCGGCTTTTCTACTATGATTATAAGTCATAATATGGATACCTACCGACACTATAAAACTGTAACACATTTATTTACCTCACCTTGTCTAACCAATTCTATTATGACCACAAGTAATGAGCACACTGTCATCCCTGAATAAAGTATAAAAATACATACTTAAAAAAATGTATTTTATTAGAGGAGGCCAAACAAACTCAAACTGTCTCCAGGAGACACATTTTGAGCATAATAAAATACCCAACTTTGCCAGCCGTGACTACCCAACACAATATCATGCCACCCACTTATCTAAATCAAGAGGGGTGTCCATATTCACACATAGCTCTCTAACGTTCAAACTCTTGCAGCTCAATAAGGATACTCAGGGTAGATATGTAATACTTCACTGCAAGGTTAATGATAGGTTGTACATTATAACAGGAATATACGCACCCAACGAAAACCACAGAAATTTCCTACACAAAGTGCTAGCAAAACTCCCCACCTCCCAGGCAACATCAATTGTAATTTGTGGGGATCTCAACCATGTCCTGCAGCCCCAACTAGATACAACACGGACAGATACCGCACACAGACATAAAATCTTACAAACATAATGCAAAGTACTCATAAAACATATATCAGAATATGGCCTGTACGATACCTGGAGGACATACCACCGGAATAATCAGGAGTACTCATCGGTACACAAGACATATTCAAGAATAGATTTCATTTTCGTATCAGGGGATTTACTCCCACTTATAACACACTGTATGGTTGGGGATATGGTGTGATTTGACCACGCACCTGTAGCAATCAACCTAACAGACAAATTTCGATTTAGAGGCAAAGCACCTTGGCGCCTCAACGATAATATTCTCCAAAATGTTGAATTTAAAAATAAACATAATACATAGCCGCATACTTTACATTAAATGAAACCCCTGACATCTCACCAGTCTCGATTTGGCAAGTCCATAAGGCTGTTGTCCGTGGCCTCATCATTAGTAGAGCATCCCCCATAAACCACAAATCTAAAAAAGAATATATTACACTACTGAGATCACTTAGGGATGATACAATAACCCAACTCTTACGAACCTCACGTGAGACTTAGACAAAAATAGACAACACAAAAGTGAGATTAAATGAGATACACCTTCGCACCACTGCACTCATGACTCAAAAACTAAAATTAAATTCCTACACACAGGGTAAATAAAGTGGGGAATACACTCGCATCAATTATGCGGCAAAACTCCAATATACAATTTTTAGTCAATGATTTAGGACAACAAATAATGGCAGACTATTACAGTGCCCTATACAATCTCAAGGAGGATAGGCACACACACCAACCGTCTCAATCGGAAATAGATGAATTTCTGGCAAACATTAAACTTCCCACATTTTCAAAAACTCACAAAAATATGTTAGAGACACACCGATTTCGTAGCAAGAAATCGCACATGCGATCGACAGATTACGCTCAGGAAAATCCACGGCACTGGACGGGTTTACAAACCTGTATTATAAACTTTTCTCGCACCTTTTAATTTCCAAATTGGAACAAATGTATAACCACACCTCAAAACCGGCATTGTACCACAAGAAATGTTGATGGCACACATAGCAACATTACCCAAGCCCGGTAAACCTCTGAACAAATGCCAAAACCTGCACCCAATATCCCTACTGAACACAGACATCAAATATTCACTACGAGGCTGGGTGATATAATACCAACTGTGATACATGAAGACCAGGTGGAATTTGTGAGGGACAGACAAGGGGCAGACGGTATGAGAAAGGTGGACATTATGCATGTTCTGCAAAGGGTGGGGGAACCCACTGTAGCCCTCTCGTTGGATGCTGAAAAAGCTTTTGATAAGCTGCACTGGGGCTTCCTCGCATCAGTTCTATGGAAATTTGAGTTCCCAGAGCGGTTCCTTTCATTAGTCTATGCTCTTTGCTCGAAGCCAACAGCAAAAAGTTGTAAATGGGGGATTTACCTCGCACACACTGTTAATAATGAATGGGTCTAGGCAAGGGTGCCCTCTATCCACCCTTTTGTACATATTGGCACTGGAACCTCTTGCCCAACTTATAAGAGAATCTACCAGTGTCCATGGGGTGAGAGCGAAAGAGAATGTAAGGTCACAGTATTTGCGGATGATGTAATGATAACAACTACAAAACCAAAGAATATTGGATAGCTATAGTCTGTGCTCATACTACAAACTCAATGTAAATAAAACGCAGGCTATGACTTTCAACACACCTTTAACTGGAGACAAAACCACCTTACATTATTAGGTATAGCACTCACGAAACTTAGAGTAGCAGCTATGGTTTTATTTAAACTTTTTCATAAAGGGGGCCTGGGCATGCCAAACATACTGCACTACTATAATGCAACACTTGCAGGTACACTAATATCGACAGTCCACCACATAAAACCCCCTGCATGGAGTCAACTAGAAACCATACATACTGGGGGCATATCATTATCTGCTTTAGCTTGGACACCTAAAGCAATTAGACCCAAATACAAGGAGGTACTCCCTACATCAGAAGTAACACACAAATTCATGAAGACACACTACCCAGGCGCTCACATATCCCAGGCTACGCAGATACAGGAGTTCCAAGCACTCATTCCGGGGTTTGATCATAAATTATGGTACATATACAATATCAGGTCTATATCTCAGTTAATGTCAGGTAACAACATGCTAGACTTTGAATCTCTAAAATCAACATACAATCTCCCATCACAGGCTCTCTTTCCATATCTGCAATTAAAATCATGGCTTCAAAAACACAATAACCCAAATGTAGCAAATGTAAATGGACAACAGCTGACGGAGGTGGAGAAAATTTGTCTCAAACAAAAGCCACCACGGAAACTAATATTGGTACTGTATAACACAGAATTAAGCAAAACAGCTAATATGAAACCCAATTTCATGGTGGCGTGGGAGAAAGAACTAAACCATAATATAGACGAAACCAAATGGTCTAAAATGTTACTGGCACAAAAAAAGCTCACATTGTACACTACTAATATTGAGATGTTAAGAAAGGTCCTATATGATTGGTATGTGATCCCAGCCTGCCTAATACACGCTGACCCCAATAAATCAGGGAAATGATGGAGATACAAGGCTGAGCCTGGGACCATGCTCCATGTATGGTGGTCATGCCGGGAACGCACAGTATTCTGGGAAAAGATCTCCCAACTAATAGAGAACACTGTAGGTCTTAAATTGCCTAATGAACCTGAGACCTATCTACTGTACCGGTTCCCTGGGAAAATCTCCAAGGACAAACAATATTTAACTTACCACATAATCACAAGGGTACTAACGGCGATAAACAGAACATGGTTGCAAACGTCTGCATCGAGTGTGTCACTGTGTAGAACCATTATCAAAGTTACAAAAACCTATGAAATAATGATGAGGTGTCTTTTGACCCCGAAAGGTTTGTGCAACAAGGCCTGGGAGCAATGGGAGCAAAGTTTGGAGAGTGGCCAAATAGGAGTATAGGACTCCATAGTGATTCTGAGTCAGGACATCCAGTTAGGCCCCAAGAATAATATTGTAGCCTCTCATGTGACTTACTATCCTACATAAAAAAAAAATTACATATTAACATCAGCTAGACAATATTTCAACCATAAAAATCCCACTTCAACAGCTTTGTCCATACTTTGTTGGCCAAGTTAATGGGCAAATGTACCCAAACCAATGCTGATAATATATTGTACCTGAGCCAAAGGTATTTTGCTAACACACAATTCGACTGAGATAGTAAGACACAATGGCTCTTTTACACAATGGAGCATACAGTCGGATGTATCTTATACCCTGAGCATAGACCTTGTGCCTGTCTCATGCACCTTAGGTCAACTCCGCATCTATGGTGCCAACAAACGAGAAGCCATTTTAAATGACTACTTACTAACTACATTTTTATGGACCTGGACCGATTCCACCCTTAGCCCCTTCCTTCCCTTTTCCCCTTTAAACTCTCCAATTTACTGTTCTTAAGTTACATTTAATATGTGGGTAAAAAAAGAGGTGCACCCCAAAGCAATACAGAGACTGTCAAGACACAGGTCTGTACCGAGGGCCGACAATGTTAATTGGTTTAAATATGATGACACAGTCGTGTTTTGTTTGTTTATCATGTAAGTTACAGTCTGTTGTATTATACGTCTGACTGTCTGTTGGAACCACATATTCAATGTCTCATGTAAATGTACCTCAACATCTAATAAAATGTTATAAATAACGGGGCTATCGGATGTACAGAACCAGAGATATCATTGTATAAAGTCTGGGGCTCGAGGCTCTGTACATCCCCGCAATTAGTTTCACAGCGTTGCTTGGTTTAGTCTGGTGATTTCATACTTCGCGTCTAAACCAAGCAACAGACAATCTGGAAAAAGGGCGTGAATCAAATCACGGCAATCAGCGCTCAGGGAAGAGAGGGCTTTCGCTGCCCAATCAGGAGAAAGGGCGCAAAACCCATGTGCACCAATCGGCGCTCGGGGAGGATAGTGGTTTCGCCGCCCAATCAGGACCATTTGAATGGGCGCTCTTTCGCTGATTGGTTGTCTGCGCCCCACAGCGACCAATCAGTGCTCACTCGTGCTGACCCATCAGGAGAATGGCGCAAACCCAGCATGAGTGGGTGTTCCTTCTCCTGATTGGTCGGCACGGACTTCCAGGGGGCCATACTATGCGGCTGTGAAGCCGACTCACAGCTCTGCGGTCTCCACTGGGGCTTGCGCCTCTCTTCGTTGGCTGCTTCCACTTAGGCAGGCCCAAGTAGAGCGCTCCTTGGGCAGCTACAAGCCTGGCCTTGTTAGGAGCAGGTACGGTAATCCGGACCGCCAGTACCCCAACAGTGTCCCAACCAGCCTCAGGGACCCATACATCGAGTCCCGGTGTGAAGACCCAACATGTGAAGTGTCTCTTTGGGATACGAATGCTCCCCTGGTGGCCACCTAGGGGGATGCTTCCCCTGGCAGCCACCCAGGGGAGCGCTCATTAATTGCTTCCCTTGCGGTTTCACACTTAGGTTGCAGGTGTGAACGTTCGGATTAATTGATGTGAACGTTCTAATGGGGTACCAGGGTGGTCCTTGTTCGGGAACTGCACTTTCCGTGCGTATGAGCGCCACCGTGTGGTAAACAGACATATTACACAAAATATATAAAGATACATGGGAAAAAACAGTGGGAACACTCAAAGATACATGGGAAAAACACATAAATAAGCAGTGGGCATGGTACTCTTTGACAGCGGTTCGTCACAAGACTAATAGCACAATTTTATGGTAATAAATGGAGAGATAATCTAGACATACAGGTAGATTTGTAGTAGCTTATTAGTAAAAATCATGATATAGACTGGCAGTTATAAAAGCACATAACTAATATAACGGTATAACATGCTATAGTAGATATCAAATAGTGAAGCCACTGGTAGTAGATCTAGCATTATGGATGCTGCAGCACACAGAGTATAATCAATTGAATTTACGACATCACAGAGAAGATCTCAACTTAGGCGGTAAGTCTGAAGCTGGGGTCAGCCAATCCCCATGGATGGTAAGGTGGTAGTGTGGACATAAGAGTAAGAACATTTTTGATGTGGAACACACGTAGGCAAAGCATGTCAGTAGATGAGATTTTTTTTAACTAATCACAGCAAGCATTATGTACTGACCGTATGATAAAACAGGAAAGTGAAGTGACATGCTTAAAGACATACTAGGCTTAGATGCAAATACCATAAGTGTGACATGCTGTATTCAGATAAACTAAAAAATAAATAAACAAACAGTGACCACACATGAGAAGGAGCCACTGGATTCTAGGGTTCTTATACATTATTGCTGCTAACATAATGTAAACAAAAATGCTAACTCAGAAAAATTTGCTTAATACAACATAGTCAGCTTTCACTGGTGCCATGATATATATATAGGTAACAATGATATATATATACTGGGCATATAATTTAAGGCCTGGGCTGTTGTGTACATGGTAAGGCAAGTCTTGTGTCACCCGACCCCCGCTGTAGGGAAGCGCATGAGGCCTGCATGGCCTTCATCAGTGAATGTAGCATAATGGGAGTAAGGGATAGATCCTAAGCCCCAGGCTGGTATGCAGGCCGGCACCTTCAAACCATGGACTTGGGGGATCCATAGGGCCCAGTCCATCCCTTTAAGGGGACAGCAGGAGACTTTGGTGGAGATGGTCTTCCTCTTGTGTGGATGATGCTTCAGTGTATAAGCCGTTGGGGCCCGCAGCTTGGGTGGGCTAGTACGATTAGCTGTAGATACTTGCAGAGTTGCTGTGCCCCAAAATAGGCCTTGCCTTTCCATGCTCTTTGTTGCTTTGTTCGTCCTCCCAGGGTAGGTGTGGAGTTGCAGTGAATTTTGCTCCTAGCTTAACTAGCTTAGCCCAGAAGTGTGCAAAGATTTCCTCCGACCTCTGGATAGACTGCAGTCAAGCCGTGCAGGGTCAGTTTCGGGTCCGCCATCTTGGCTGATTCTACACAGCAGGGATGATAGGCAGGTCCAGTGGAGACCGGGATGACCCCGCGGTCAAAAAGGAGGGGGGGGGACAGGGCTGCAGGAGGTCTCTACTCTGAGGCTGTGTTGCACGGAGCAGTAGAGTGGCTGCCTCTCCCACCCGCTGGCCCCACTAGGCCTCACTTGGTGCTTTTGGAATAAATGGCAGCCGGCGCTTCACGGACCCGATCCTAGGCTCTCTGCTGGTAGCAGGAGGTGTATAAGTCCCTATGAAAGGTGGACGAGAGTGCCCTAAGAGGGTATTATGTGAGATTGCAGAGTAGCACTAACAAAATGCATCTGACCGCCATGATGGTAAGGCCCGGCCCCCGTATTTCAAGATTTTATCTTCACAAAAAAACTATTTTTTTTGGGTTGAGGGGCAGGTGGATGGGACAGAGCCACTTTAATTGTGTATAATGGCACAAATTGTATCTTCACAGTTAGGAAGCTAGGCAGCTTGACTGTCATTGTACAATTATTGGAACTTTTTATACTCAATCCTACTAAATTAAAGACTTAAATAAATATTTCATGGTAAAAGTTCCAATGGTTTCCTATGGATGGATTTTGTTGCAAATCTTTTCTACTGGTGCACTGGCAGAGATACACAAACTGAGCATTGGGCACTTGTAAATTATAATAAATGGGTTTATTAATTTGCTCAATGATCACTGAGATTCAAGTTCAACTATTTAGGCTCTCCTCTTTAATCAAATTCCTGCATTAGTGAAAAAACAAATTAAAAATAGCTGAACTGAATAATAAAGAGATAATAAAGAGATTTACAAAATTTCTGACAAACCTAGGTTTAGTCAGTTACAAATCAGTGAATAGAAGTTTTATTGTTCTGTAAATGTAAGAATTGTTCATTTGGCCTAGTTAGTATTTTCATTATATATTGTTACTATTGGTTACTTTAGTCTCCCCTATAGAAGAAGACAATTGACCAATGACCAATGTTGTCAATGCTTGTTTTTGTATCAATATCTGAAAGTCATAGAAAGGTGAGGTAAAATACTAAGGACTCATTTCATGTTTTCCATTAAAATTTACATAAACTGTTAACACTAACAGGCAATAGATATTTGTAGCTAAAAAGTACAAGACTTGTGCACAAATTCATTTACCTGGTGCGAACGAATCACAGTTAAATCCCAGCGGGATCAATTAGTTCGGCTGTAGATTAAAAAGGATTTGATTCATTCAAACCAGATGAAAAACATTTGTGCACAAGTCTAAAAAAAACACCACAAGGGTTCCATGGTCAATGCTTGCGTCTATTGTCCCCACGTCACTTTGCCTCCACTGATACCGACTACCACTTAGTGTTTACCATTTTGCAAATCTGACGTACATCAAGAATAAGAATACATTTTTCAATTAATTACCATAGCAACCCCAACAGAACATTATACATGTTTCATTCAGTGCACTTCACCTGCAATTATCTGAGAACACTGCCTTTCAAAAAAATGTGATTTTAAATATAGGATGTATTGAGAGTTTGTAGTAACTTGCCTTATCCTCTTTACACTTAAATGTGACATATGTTTTGTCTGGTAATGACAGGAAGTAAGTTATACTGTTTAGTCAGGTATTAGCATTTAGTTATTTCCATTAATCTCTATGAGACTTGTTAAAACTTTTCGCAGCCGCTAATTACCAATTGTTAAATGTTACATTTTGTAGCATGGAAACAGACAGTAATTAGCCTTCTATTAGAATTATTTTCAGTTGGTACGCACCATATCAGATTTCCTTTAATCTATGGTTGAACAAATCAATCCGTCCAGAATTTACCTGTTCAATCTTATCCAATGTATACGACTTTACAGGTATATACTGAACAGATCCATTTGTTTGGGCGTAGATTAGAATTGATCTGATTTGTTCGCACCAGCTAGAAAGAAGATAAGCACAATAATGTTAATTGTCTAATAAATGCTAATATTAATGACAGTCATACTAGCAATTACGGACTGATCAGTAAATAATTGCATCAAGTTTGGAGACAGACCCTAAATGAGTTATTAATTCAGATAAGGACAATAGCTGTATTTGTAAAAACAAAGAACATTGGGGAAAGCATAACAATATTTTACATCTGCTGTCACACATTAATCATAGAAAATTATTAAACATAATTAAACTTTCACCCTACAGCAACAGAACATCTCATACCATTACAACGTGACTATTAATATCACAAATGAATTTAATCTGCAAAAATTACAGTGTATGCTGATGCTTCAGTCTGATCATCAAGCCTTTTTTTTTTTAGAGACTTCGCGACAACAATGAGGATGTACACCTGGGTATAATTAAAACAGTCAGACATGCTAATTTTCTTTTGAAGTTTACCGGCATAAAACAGACTATGTACACTGCTCTGTATTATTTAGAACCTAGCATCAAAGCATGTATGATGTTCCAAATAATTAAAACTGGTTCATGCAGAGGCCATGGTTTTTTTTTTTTGGATAAAATAAATATAGACATAAATGCATTGACGCATATACCCAACTGAGTCAGACAGAGTCATCCCCATATCACATAAACCCCCCAAAAAGCGGATAGTGTGGGACAATTACATATAGGGAGGGAAAATAAATAATCCCATTTACTCTTTTTTTTTTTTTTTTAAGATGCCAAAATAACAGAGTATTGCAGTATGCAATGATACCTTTTTTATTGGACTAATATAATATTTCAAAGACAAGATTTCAAGAGTTTTCCTCTCCTCCATGGGTCTGAAGCAATACTGATCAACCTGATAGAGTTTAACACTTAAAAAAACTGATGTTAGAGAAGGGGAGGGAGGGGTGTGAGTGGGGTTTTTTAAATAGCAGAAGATGTGCCTGAAAGTGAAAGGTGCAGGTTGGCTGAGAATAGCCAGAAAAAGTAAATGAACAGAGGAGAGTCAGTAAGCTAGTTGTCTTTGAAATATTAGGTTAGTCCAATAAAAAAGGTATCATTGCATACTGCAATACTTTGGTATTTTTGGAACTTGTCTACTGGACTAATACGGCTAATCCAATATACTCTGTTTGTAAGAAATAGGAAATTCAATTATTAAAACATTTAGGCATGGTACATGAAATGAACAATAATGTTTTAACGCAGTATACCTGTATCGTAAAAAACTGTGTATGAAATAGGACTTTATAAAAGCTTTAGAATTGTAAAATACGTATCATCCTTGCGAATTAGCTTCCATTGTTAGCCCTTTTATTTCTCTAATGATGCAGGTGTCAATTGCAGACAGTGCAAACTACAGTGCTACGGTAACAGATTTAAAGTCTGGTTAATATAATAAAGCAAATTTTTTTTTAAGCACCGTAACTTAAAGGGACACCGTAGGCACTGTATCTGCTTCATCTCATTAAACTGGTTATAGTGTCTGGAGCCCTCTGGTACCATCATTTCTTTCAGCATTAAACAGTTTTTAAACTTTTAATGCTTTAATGCTAAACAAGAGTCCCTGGCAATCCATCCCCTCTGTGCTGCTTTGGCTAATAAGGAAGTATTAGCCTGAGCAACAATAGGCAGCTGTGATTGGCTGAGAGTGTCAGCTGACTGCTTTTAGCCTGTCAGAGTTCCAACTGACGGTATGAATGGGTATGACAACAAGGAAGTGTGTAATCTCTGCCTAAGCTACACATACTGAAGGGGCCGGACTCTGGGTGGCCAGGGACTCTTATTTTGTGGCATACTGCACGAACATGGTGCAATACTGAATGGAGGGACAGTGCCAGGGCACTCCAGGCACTATAACCAATTCAGAGAGATGAAATGCTTATAGTGACTACAGTGTCCCTTTAAAGGAAAAAAAGATTACTTCCCTGGAAATAACACCACTGAATATAATATAAAAATAAAATACACCTTTAACTTTTTTGTGAGAGGTTCCATTTTTCTGCGTTACACACCTACCACCAACTTCAAATCACTAATTTACAGTTTGAGAGTTATTTGTTAAAGCAGATCTGTCCCTTTTGGGGGTCTTTGCATATTTTACAAAACTTCACGAAAGTGACAGATCCAGGGTCAGTCCGGTGGCCAGTGCTAACCTCAATCTGTCCCTCGTAGTTATTGCTATCTTCATAATGATGTCCTATTCAATTGATAGGAGCTGCGCTTGTGAAGAGTACTGCACTGCGATCTATATAAGATCTCTCGAAACTGCAGGAGCCTCCATATATATCGATGTCTATCGATGCTGTTGATCCAATAGAAAGCAAAAAATACAGTTTGAAGCACTTTAAATTTTTGCAACAAACTAGGTAAACATTCCTTCTTGACCCCAGAATGGCTGTCAGATCTCTCTATGGATTAAGAAGACATAACCCCACAAATTAAAAATGATATCCATGAATATTATTTTTGCAAGTATTCATCCAGTTGCTGTTTAAACATCTGTGCAGACTCTGATAAAACCACCTCTTCAGGCAGAGAATTCTACATCCTTAATGTTCTTACTATAATAATTCCTTTCCTTTGCCTTAGACTAAATCTTCTTTCTTCCAGTTTAAATGTGTGACCATGTGTCCTCTATATAGTCCTGTGTATGAATAGATTTCCATAGAATGGTTTCTATTGGCCCCGAATATATTTGTGTAGTGCTATCATATCCCTTCTGAGGCGATGTTTTGTTTAAACTAAAGAGATTTAAATTACTTAACCTTTCTTCCTAACTAAAATGTTCCATTCTTTTTATTCGTTTTGTTGCCTGCCACTGCACTTTTTCTAGTGCCATAATATCCTTGTTTAGAACAGGTGCCCAAAATTGCACATTATATTCAAGGCGAGGTCTTACTATTGATTTATAAAGAGGCAAAATTATATTTTAATCCTGAAAACTAATGCCCCCTTTCATACATGACAATATCTTACTGGCCTTAGCAACTACTAAATGACATTGCATATTGTTGCCTAGTTCGTAGTCTATAACAATTCCCAAATCCTTCTCGTGTGTTGTTATCCCTAAATCACTACCATCTAGGGAGTAGGTTTCTTGTGCATTCTTTACCCTGAAGTGCATAACTTTCTACATTTTTCTACATTAAATTGTATCTGCCATTTGAGTGTCCAGTCCCCAAATCTATCTAAATCCCTCTGCAGCAAAATAATATGTTTCTCAATTTCAAGTACTTTACATAGTTTTTTTCAATGCCTATTTCAAGATCATTCAAAAATATCTTAAAGGAACACTATAGAGTCAGGAACACAAACATGTATAGAAATCACTATCTAGTCCATCTGGATTCCCCCTTACCCCCCTAAATATAGTAGAAATGTTCCTTTATTCTAATATGCTGGTGCAGGCTCTGCCCCTACCCTGTTGATTATCTCAACCAATCACAATTGCATTGGATTGACTGAGATTGCCAAGGAGGTGGGTCAGAGCTAAGTACCACCCTGGCCAATTAGCATCTCGTCATAGAAATACATTGAATCAATGCATCTCTATGAGGAAAGTTCAAGTGGAGACACTGAATGTTAGTGCTGCTCAGTGTACAGCATTGCCCCAGAAAGCACCTCTAGAAGCCATCTGAGGAGTGGCCACTGTTGGTGTCCCTAGGATGTAATGTAAACACTGTCTTTTCTCAGAAAAGGCAGTGTTTACAACAAAAAGCCTGCAAGGACTGACTATATGCAATAGAACAAATATAATAAGCTGTATTTGTACTGGTGACTGTAGTGTCCCTTTTAAATAGTAGTGGTCCCAGAACAAAACCCTGAGGGACACCACTTTTGTACAGCTTAAACATTTACCTTTATTCACAACTCTCTGTAACTTTAAGCCAATGTTTTACTTAAGAACAAGAATTTTAATCTAGACCAATTTCTTTTAGTTTGAACAGTTAGCTATTGTGTGGAACTGTTTCAAACACCTCGACAAAATCCAAGTAGATTACATCCACTGCAACACCCTGATCTATACTTCTACTTACTTCTTCATAAAATGCAATTAAATTAGTCTGACATGACAAATGTTTCATAAAACCATGCTAATTTTTGTTTTTCCCAAAGAATTGCTGAATATTATCCCTTAATAGCCTTTCAAATATTTTCCCAGGCACAGAAGTTAAGCTCACAGATCTATAATTTCCAGGCAAATATTTTGAAGCCTTTTTGAATATAGGAACCACATCTGCTTTCCTCCAATCCTCCGGTACAATTCCTGAAAGAAAAGAATCCTGAAAGATTAAAATTAGAGATTCACTTATTTCCACACTTAGCTCCTTAAGTAATTATGGATGAATACCGTCAGGCCTAGGAGCTTTATTTACATTAACTTTCTTTAGTTAATGCAGCACCTTGTCCTGAGTCAACCAATCACAATTTTTCTGCAAGTAATTTTGAGCAATCATTTGCATATCTCTACCCATATATTCCTCCTTAATATATACTGAGAAATTTTTTTTTTTTTTTTTTGCCTTTTCTTGGGATTCATTAACTAACATACCCATCTCTGGTTTCAGTGTACATGTGTACCTAAACTTTTATTTATATATTATTTTAGAATTTATGTACTTAAAAATGTTTTGGAGTTGCATTTGCTCTCTTTGGCTATCGTTTCTAATTTTCTAGTTTAGCCAATTTAATTGTCTTTTGTTGCATGCATCATTGGCTTCCTTATATTTTATGTGAGATGCCTCTGAATTGTCTGATTTTAATGCTTTAAATGCTGTTTTCCTATTTTCAATTTCTAGGTTTACTTTCCCACAAAGCCACGTTAGTTTGATTTGTCTCTTTTATATTTATTACCCGATGGTACATACTGAGAAGTGTACCTTTCTAATATTTGTTTGAATATATTCCATTTATTCTCAGTGTTTTTTTCCCTAAAGAGTTTATGCCCGTCAATATGTTGAAAAGCTGCCCTTGTCTTATTGAAATTGGCCTTTTTAAAATGATATGTTTTAGTATATGTACATTTGATTTTTAAAGTTTTTTTTTCAACAGACATCATAGTGTGATCACTATTTCCCAAGTGCTCCCCTACTTGAATGTTGGTCAAAAGATCAACATTGTTTGTTATAACCAGATCCAGACAAGCTATTTATTGGACTAATATAATATTTCAAAGACAAGCTTTCAAGAGTTTTCCTCTCTTCCTTTGGTCTGAAGCAATACTGATCAACCTGATAGAGTTTAACACTTAAAAAAACTGATGTTAGAGAATGGGAGGGAAGGGTGTGAGTGGGGTGTTTTAAATAGCAGAAGATGTGCCTGAAAGTGAAAGGTGCAGGTTGGCTGAGAATAGCCAGAAAAAGTAAATGAACAGAGGAGAGTCAGTAAGCTAGTTGTCTTTGAAATTTTAGGTTAGTCCAATAAAAAAGGTATCATTGCATACTGCAATACTTTGGTATTTTGGCATCTTGTCTACTGGACTAATACGGCTAATCCAATATACTCTGTTTTTAATAAATAGGAAATTCAATTATTATGTGTAGAGCCGGATTACCTTAAGCTACCTAGGCTCAGACAGGGGCCTGTCGGGGCCTGGAGCTCCAGCTCTGAGTGGGCCCTCCACGAGCTCGCAGGGAATTCTACCAGCATGGCCCAGCCCTCCCTCACTTCATTGAGGGAGTGTTGTGGCCCGTACTGAAATCAAGTACCGATGACTTTAAGAGCCCCCTTTGCTGTCCAGCCAGAGCTTCATGATGATTCAGAGTGCCACAGCTTGTGCTCTGAACACTGGAACTACAAGGGTGCACTTAAAGTGGTATGTACCTGATATTGGTGCAGATGTTGCAGCTCCCCCCACAGGACAACTTATGATTCAGCTCACCCTCCATTGGACCACCAGGGAAAGTAAGCAGGGTGGGTAAAACATACACACAAAACCTAGCCACACTCAGACTTCTCTACACACACATGCACACACAAAATTCAGCCAACATATACAACATTCAACCAGCACACACAGACACACATAAGTGGGCTCTAAGCTGGCACCTTTCCTAGGGTCCTGGACAACCTTAATACAGCTTTGCTCTTGTGGGTTGCCTGAGGCATGTATGGCTTTTGCATAAAGTGTGACTGTCACGGCAAGGGTGTATAATTTATTATGACACTATGGAATATCATCTTTTAATGTGATTTCTTGTAGTAAATGGCACAAATTACAGAGATGCTATTGCTGAGGTCAACAGGGGTTACATCTTTTGAAGCTGGGACCCCCACAGAGGGCAGATGACAGAAGGGGTAGTGTGAATGGCATAGGAATGTGAAAAGGATTTTACTGTATGGATGTGAAGTCTGCAAGGTGTGAGGTTCTACACTTGGAAAAAGTCTGAATGTCTCTTCATCCATTTGGCCTGTACCTTGTAAGTGATGAGTAAATCTCTTTGATATGTAAATGCCATTAGCTTTGTTCTAGTATCATATCCAAAGGAAGGACAAAAACATTCATATTTACCCCCACAGAATAATAATTAAGCCTCATTTTTGTTATATTTGGAATGTGACAAGCGCCATCTTCTAACCAAGTCCAAACATGAGTGGCCTAACTTGACCCTAGGGAAAGGAATTGTGATGTCCGTCCTATTGGATCGTGGGTGGGACGTGCAACATGTCTATGGAATGGGAAAATAATAACAAATTTGTAGATGCAATTATTATTTCTGTGGCAGGTACAAAAAAGAAGATAGAGTCAAATGTTTCCATTTGGATTGACAGTGGTCTGGAACAAAGGAGGTGGTCAGTTATTATTTCTGTAGGTACGCCTTAACTCCACCCCTGGGCAAGACTTGATAAACCACAGGGTATATATCTAATGATCCTGAAGGGTGTTGGTGTACTTGCTTGGGGCCAAGATCTAATTTTGGGTGAGTCACCATCTTTCCTTGCCAGACACCCCCTGGACAGAAGTTGTACTTTGAAAACCTTTGAAAAAGTGAGTAATTAGGACTTCTGTATTTTATCCTTTTTGTTTTTATCTGTTGTTGGTGTAAATAATTTGTTTATCATATATTTTTATATGCACTGTGACTATCTTTTGCTCATAATAAACATTCATTTATTAAGTTTTGCCTTTGTCTGGTTAAGAATCACGTTACCTGAAGAGACTAGTTAGTATTTTTATAATTCCTTAAATATTGTATTAAGTAATATTTGGTGGGTTTTATTATTGATTTACCTGGGGGACCAAGGCACCCCATTTATAAATTGTCTTGGTGGTGGCAGCGTTAAAGTAGTAATAGTTATATTATTATGTTTAAGTGTGGGTGGTGTTAAAGGGGGATTTTGTCATTATTTCCGGTCTAGTGCAGACAAATAGTGTACTTTAACCCTTTCACCACCACAACTACGTCACGCACACTCTTGGAGTAGGGTGCGTTCGTGACAGTGACCATCTAAGAATCAGTATAATGCTCTTAACTTTTGTTCTTCATGTTTTCCTTTCGATAGGATTCCAGGGCCGGCGCTACCTGTAAGAAGGACCAGGCAGCCAACTTGGGCGCCCCTTGGGAGGGGGCGCCGCCAGGAGCTCTGGCCCCACTCATGCTGCAGCCGCCCGAGCGCTCTGTAAAGAGCCTCAGGCGGCTGCAGCTTTGCCCGCGCGGTGCGTCCATTAGGGCGGACCGCACCGCCCGGGCGCAGCATGGGGAGAGGGGCTGACAGGAGGGAAGCTCAGCCCCTCTGTCTGTTTCCTTTCCCCAGGCTCTGAAGTTCAGTTGTCCTGCTGGTTAGGGATTGGGATACCGACTAACAGGAAGTGCACACTGAGTGCACCTCCCCGTTAGTCCGGCCGGGTAACAGGAACAAAAAGCTCTCTGCACCCGCTGACCATACCATAGAGGGCTCGGCCACGCTTACAGGGAAAAGTGTAGGGGGAGAAACTGACATGGGGAATGACAGGAGGGGGGGAAATGCACAGGTGCAACTGACAGGGAGGGCTGAAATTGACAGGAGGTGGGAATTGGACAGGGGAGGGGGTGGAATTGACAGGGGGAATCTGACAGGAGGGGGAATTGGACAGGGAGTGGGGCAGGAATTGACAGGGAGGGGGGGAAATTGACAGGGAGGGGGGGAAGAAATTGACAGGGAGGGGAATTGATGGGGGAATGAGAGTGGGGAGGGGAGAAGAGAGTGACAACAGGGGAGAAGAGAGTGACAAGGGAGGTGGGGAGAAGAGAGGGACAAGCAGGGGAGAAGAGAGTGACAAGGGAGGGGGGAGAAGATAGGGACAAGGGGGGAGAAGAGAGGGGAGAAGAGATTGACATCCATCACACACACACACACATGCACCCCTTACACACAAAGACAATGCACCCCTTGCACACAGAAAAACACACAATGCATTACACACACAGACACACACACACAAGCAATGCAACCCTTACACACAATGCATCCCCTACACACACAGAAACACACAATGCATTCCTTACACACACTCAATGCACCCCTTACAG